ACCATACGTGATAATCATCACATCCTTGAGTTTGAGGACATTTACATTTGTGGGTTAGTGGGGAGGGTATTTATAAATTTACCCATTAAAAATTCACCCAATTTAATTAACATTCATTTCCATTAAAATTTCTGTTTCCATTAAAATTTTTGTTTCCAAAATTGTTTTAATCTAAAATTTGGAAAGGATAAAAGCCAAACTAAGAAACACGTAGGGCAATAAGGCAAAACTTACCACCACTGTCTTTTAATATAGTAAAACCAAAATGAACGTACAAAAACGAAACATCAACCTCTGGTTTCATAATATGTAATAGTCATCAGCTGATCATAATCGAAATAACATGAATTTTCCCCATGTGTAACAGCTAATCAATATCATAGCTAAAATTTCGTGCGAAACAATAGTCACATGCTTACACGTGTTATTTGCATAATGTATTTTAAAATTTCACGCAAAATAATAGTCACAAGCTTACACATGTTATTTTGCATGATACGTCTCTTTGGTATGGAACGAGATCATGCAAGTGATACGGCATGCTACGGTAGAGGACACCAATAAGTATCAGCCCAAGGTAAAGGCATCCATCATTCATTCATAGATCAATCGACATGATGCATTGCTACCGGTACTTATTTATACCACAAACAATGACAATAGTCAATAGTGGTGGTGGCCACTTTTGCATGTTTTGCGATTTAGTTTTTATATTTTCTGATATTATGTAATATTCTAATATTTATTTGAATCGAGTGAAGATATCTTTCATACATCCCCAGCTCTTGAAATTCAATATAAAATGAACTTTGCACACTAAAAAATGTTTCGATCCTCCAATTTAGTTTAAAATGTGCACAACACTGATATATCGCGCCAATAATCCTAGTTTACCCTCTATTCCAACTCCAAATACCATTGGCTCCAGGGACACCTACTCCCTCCGTTATAAAAAAAAAGCCAAAACTCTTTTATCCAAATTCGTTATTTTAGGTTTTTTTTTACGGAGAGTATTCCCCCATCCAAAAAAATAATCATGCGATTTAAATCTGGACATATATTATATCTAGATTAAAACTCAAGATTGAATTTTCTGGGATGAAGGGAGTAAGTCTTTTCTATATAAAAAAAACATGTGTTAGACTTGATCGCAAGTTGCTAGTTGCAACATATCCCATCCGTTCATTCATTCCTTGAAAAAATGTTGACAGTTTTGATTGGTCGATGATTCCAGTCAACTCTAGCTGGAGTAGACCGATATGCGGAGACGACTCCGCGTCGGACGTCTGATAATCCACCAAATATCGGACGCCCGACTATTTGTGCGTCATCACACCACCTGCATATGTAGCATGCACAAAAAAAAATCGGTCAATCAAATGTCCAATTGACTAACGAGTGAAACATCAAGTTATATAGAGTGAAACAAAAGAAAATCAATAAATGAAACATTTAAAAAGTTTACGAAACATGATGAAGATACACGTTGAAACGTATCGCTACGACATATGAAACAAGCAGTGTTAATGAATTGAAACATATGTTTTTCTTTCATCAAAATATAATCATACGATATCTTGTTGAAAAGATTTAATTACAAAGAATATAACAGTGTGATCGGATCGTAGATTGGATAATTAGTCTAAGAGAAAAATCTTTCTGAAACTAGCTAAAATGCATGCATGCATGAGGTGGAGAGAGAAGAGAGAGAGTAGTAACTATTAGTTTTGTAAACTTTGTGAAACACGCTGAAGACACATACTGAAACATGTACATATCAAAAAGTGTTAATGGATTAAAACATATTATTATTTTTTATCAGAATATAATCATGCGACATCTTGTTGTAAAGATTTAATTACAACGAATACAACGATTTAATTGGATTGTAGATTAGATAAATAATTTAAGAGAAAATTTGTTTTCAATATCGTTAAAGATGCATGTTATATGGTTGGAGATACAGATATAGGCTTGGATAGGTGTAGGTGTGTCAAAAGCTGCCCGTCTGATTTTTCTCATTGGTTCAGGCGTTCGAGGAGAAGCATTTTCCCTGATATGCGTATATATGGTTCGGACGTTCGAGGAGAAGCATTTTCCCTAATATGCGTATACATATACGCTAGCGCTCCCCACATGCGAGTTTACCAATTACTCTCTCCGTCTCTTATATTATGGAACAGAGGGAGTACTACCAACTATATGCTTCCACCCTTAAAAACTTTCCTCTTTTTGTCGAAACCAGCTATTCGATCACAACACATGAGATAATCTCTTAATTTTCTTTAACCTTTTTTTCGTCAAAACATGTAAATCACAACTAAAAGCAGATGACATCACACCGGACCAACGAACGAGTAGGAAAAACTAACAAAACAAACGGTTTACAAACTTACAATGTCGTTCAAGCAGAAACACACCTAGCCCAAGTGCACTTAACTCAAACGGCAAAAAAGAAAGAAAGAGGGAGAATTTTTTCATAAGCCTCGAGTATTAATGGCGATAATTAGGCTTATATTCGTCCTTATCAGGTAGGTAGCATCGACAACTTCACACCAACATGGGTCGTCGCTTAGGTTAGGAGAGAGCGGACCAAGCCGTCAAGTTGGGGAATTTTTTTTTGCACCTACAAAAACACATATGCTTTGCGTCAGACACGAGACGAATTAAGTTGACATATGATAAATACTTTTGAGATGAACTTTGACATAAATAGCCCGATATAAACAAGGTGAGACTCACGAAAGCTTACTGCTTTATTACTGTAGATGAAAGTAGTACCCTCCATCCTAAAATATAGCAACCTTATACTGGATAGGACACACCCTAATACAACGAATTTGGACACCTAGTACAAAGTACTATTCATGTATTATCATCTAATAATAATAAAAATACTAATTATAAAAAAAATAAAAAAAACGGACGATCAAAGTTAGGCGCAGAAAATTATGATTACACTTAAAATAGGACGGAGTGAGTAAATTTGCTCGATTTGCTTTTGTACGTTTTTCTTTTAAGTATGGGTATGTTTAGTTCAAAGAAGAAAATTTTTAGGTGTCACATCGAATATTTGACCGGGTGTCAGAAGGGGTTTTCGGACATGAATTAAAAAACTAATTTCATAACTCACCTAGAAACCGCGAGACGAATTTATTAAACCTAATTAATCCATCATTAGCACATGTGGATTACTACATCACTTATAGCTAATCGTGGACTAATTAGGCTCAAAAGATTTGTCTCACGATTTCCACGCAAACTGTGTAATTAGTTTTTTTATCTATATTTAATGCTCTATACATATGTCCAAAAATTCAATGTGACGTTTTTGAGAAAAAAAATTTAGGCCTATATAGTTCCAAAAACTGTTCCCAAAAACATAGCATCGAATCTTTGGACACATATATAGAGCATTAAATATAGATAAAAAGAAAAACTAATAGTACAGATTAGCTATACGTGCTACAGTAACCCACATGTGCTACTGACGGATTAATTAGACTTAAAAGATTCGTCTCGCAGTTTCCAGGCGAGTCATGAAATTATTTTTTTTTCATTCATGTCCGAAAACCCCTTTCAACATCCGGTCAAACGTTCCATGTGAGAAAAAAAAATTTATTACACCAACTAAACATGCCCTTTGTGAACTGATTTATTTTTCCCTTCGCCCAACGTTCCGTGCTTGCAGCTTCTACTGGAAGCCTGCTAGTGCCTTTTGAATGCTGCTCCCAGCTTCACCTTTTTAATTTGAAGTACTGAAGTACGAATCGAATAATTTATAAAGTTTGCTGCCGGCATCTAACGATTGACAATTTGTGGCTTGATTAGGACTCAAGAAAAAAATAATTCTTTCACTACTTTATATAGTACTAAAAAATATCTTTTATGGATGGAGGAGGTAGATTGCTACTCGTTCCATCTCAGATTATGGGACACCTTTTTTTAGGAAAATCATACCCCGTAATTTTCAAGTAATAATCATACTAACCACATGTAAACCACATATATATGACCAATTATTATGCACATTATATCACTATATTCATATTTTAAAGTACTTTCATGTGATGTTACTTTCATATTTATTAGGAACATAACATAGAACAAATTAGTTTTCAAAGTACATCGTTGAAAACCATGTAAAAAATATAGGCCTTATAATTTTGGACGAACATAGTATATTATGAAACGGAGAAAGGGTAATCAAGCTCGCAGTTCCAGATTTCTGTCAGGAGGGAGTATATTATGAAACGGAGAAAGTATAATCAAGCACGCAGTTCCAGATTTCTGTCAGCAAACCTTTCCTACTGCATGTATCGAGCGGCAATATTGACATTACGTAGGCGCATTTAAAAGCCTAATTTGAGACGCATTTCAGGAATTTTTAACGTAGTGTATCTTCGTCACGGTTTGCAAATTGATTTAATTTTCTTTGCACGAATGCCGTATTGTGCTCGGCAGTTGCTACACAGCTACAAAATAGGCCAGGAACAGTCGCCGAAAAAGAACGAGTTGCCGAAAAAGAACGGTTTCGCAGTTACACTTGACCATGAGGCAAGCTCAGCTGTTCGATGTGAATTACTACTTGAAGATGATAAACTAGGAGGTTCAATTGGTATAGAACTCGATAGTCTGACGCAGTTGCACACGGGCAACATGGCCAAGTGAGCAACGGCCCAAGTCATACGTATTTACCTCTTTCTGTTAGTGGCAAGTGCGCATCTACTGACATTGTAATATGTAATACGATAACGCCCTTAACTCACCTTGAAGTAACAAATTAATTAGGTCCTGTGTTAAATCCATACGCTAGAATATCTGAGAGTTAGCACGTACTGAATGATTCGGTTCGGATGGACGGCACTACACGGCAATTATGAGCTAAACAGGTCTCTGCTGTAGATGTTCGCAAAACGAGAACTTAGTTTCTCATCGCAGCATGAGAAATGCATATTCTCATAGTTGCATGAGAATCGCAAAACTGCAAACTGCATATGTTGGCAAAATGTGATTTTGGGTTCATTTCAGATAAGGTTCGCTACTTTAGATTACCACAAAGCTTATTACATGAAAGAAGTTCATACATTTATCAAATCAAATAACTTGAATGCTTGTGTATGGTATGCACACTCGTAGAACAACCTAAGCATTGTATATACTAGAATAACACAAGAATATGCAGATAACATATCACACAACTATAAATTAAATACTATCAATAGCAAATGCACAGAAAATGGTAAACGTGTCTCACTAAAAAGATCTAAAACTGTAACCAGCCACAATTATAATCCGTGATATGCATAAGCTAACCTTAATAGTTTAAATTCCAAGTTTAAAAGTCATCTTAATAGTTTGTCATATATATATATTTGTTTTTCTAAGGAAAAAAACCTCAACTTTGTTAAGATATGCTTGAACAAAATACAAGGGAACAAGTATGATGCAAACTATCATATCTCCCTTGTTCGCCTAAATTGGACTATGCCCTAGCAGAAATAAAGCCTACAAAACTTGTTAGCAGAGTTTCTGGTTTTAACTTTTAAGAAGTGCATATACTACACCTACGATTAGCTGAATGCCTGAATCTGTTTGGATATTTCACTTGATACCTAATTTCATAGCAGAGAAGTTGTAAATGGCACGGAAAGAACAATTGCAGAGCAGCACATAAAACGTACCTGAATAAGTAACTTAGCCTGAAGGTTGATTTCCAGGATAGCCTTAAGGTTGATTTCCAGGCTTCTGTTGTAGCTGACCCAACAGGCGCTGAGCCAACTGAAGAGTCGCCTGATACTTCCTGTTCCGTTCTGCCTCGTCAGCAGAAGCTTGTGCAGCAACAGGAGCTTGTGCGGCAGCAGGAGCTTGCATAGCAGGAGGGAATTGCGCAGCAACAGGAGCTTGTGCAGCAGGAGTCGCAACAATTTGTTGATGGTGCGCCTGTAAAGAGAAACCATAGTTTACCCTATCATTAGGCAAAGTCAAAGCATGCTGAAACACTGCCAAAAACCCTATCTGATTATTTGTTGGCAAGGTTTACTTGGGAATAAGGAAGAAATGGGATGTTAGAATTGCTGACCTGAAGATTAGAACTGCTAACTGTGGCCAATTGACCATAATTGCTTTGAGTCATATAATACTGCTCTGGTTGATACTGTTGCTGACTCATCTGCGTAGGCAAACTGTGTCCAACTTGCGATGATAATATAGCAGAACTGGGTGGCAGCGTAGGAGGTGGTGGTGGTGGTGGCAAGTTTAGAGTCATTTCAGGATTGTAAGCACTATGTTGTGTTGGGTGCTCCTGTGCACCTGCCAAGTTCCCATAGTTTGGCAGATGAACTGCTCCAGCTTGTTTGCTGAACTGTTGTCCTGAATGCTGGAAATTACCGATCTGCTCTAAGGATGAAGTAGAAGCCATTGCTTGATTTTCAGGTCTCCATACTTTTGCAAGAGTAGATGCATCATTCATTTGGGTTAATGCAGGTTGGTCTGTTGAGCTCAGGGGAAGCTGGCCAGTGACCAGAGCTGATGACTGCCCACTTGGCAAAAGTTTAGCTAAAGTGGCTATCATATCAGGCTGGAGTGAAGGCTGTACCTGTAGTCCTGCGTTTGTAGGGATACCGGCAAGGTTTGGCTGAACTACTTGTCCTTCATCCACCCGAGGTCGTGCAAGAATTTGCCCCAATTGATGCAATGAATCCTCACGTAAAGATCCACGGTGATCAGCATCTCGATGGTGATTGTTGCTAGGCGTAATCATACTATACCTTCTCTGCAAAGGAATTTCCCTTTCATCGTAGTAAGGTTGTGATTCTGGTGCAGTTAGTTGTGGCCTTTGTACAGCAGGAGTGGGAGCAGAAGCAGGAGCAGCAGCAGACATTTGCGGAATGTGTAATACTACACCGTAAAGACGTTCTGGACCATCAACTTGCAAAACATTTCGTAAAAAATCGGAAGGTGGGACCAAAAATAAAGTAGTCCCCCCATCAACCTTTACAACCCCTGCCCGACTTTTTGAGCCTAAGTAGCGCAAAAATTCAGTGTAAGAAACAAAGTCATCTTCACTATCTGGCAAGAAGAAGACGATATCAAACCCTGAAGCGTCTCTATAATGCTTTGCCAGCATATCTAGTCCAGTTCTAGCGGAACAATTAACAACATCCGGTCTGCAAAACAGTGGAATATGTGTAAGATCCAGAGGCTATAGAAATCAACTGTAGAGAACAAGATTAAGATGGTGAGTGTATACATACAAAGGTATCTCAACACCCTTCCTTATAGGCAAACAGCGAGCACGACATACAGGAGATCCACCTTTGGCAATGCTACCACGCCAGAAGTGCTCAAGGTATGATGTTCGGTGCACTGTGCCATGGATTCGAATAGCAGGACTTGAGCTCCTCTCAGAACGTGCACTCTCGCGCTGAGAGTACCCAGCAGAATAAAGACCCTCACTACCTGCCCTTGTATCATAAGGGTCAGCTGCAGCATCCAACCGCAACCTCTTGGCTTCTCTTGGATCGAATGTACTCTGAGCAGATCGTCCAGTTAAGAGAGGATTTCCAGATTCCGGTGATGGAAGAATACCACCAGAAACAGGGACACCACTGTACTCAAAGTATCTTGATCTTCCCCGTCGAGGATCAAAATAATCAGAAGCGCCATACTGACCATCATCATAATACATCTCTGATTTTGGAAATCCAGAAACTGCTGTTGGATTATCTAATTTATTTGGCGCAAGCTCACTGTTCGAGAAAAGAATTTGAATTCTCTGATCATTGAAAAGACGACCATCTAGATTTTTCTTAGCATTAGAAGCTTCCCCAACTGTTGCAAACTCCACAAAAGCATATTGCCTTGTTGGGAAAACTTTTGTATTTGTAACAGCACCATGTACAGCCATCGCTTGCCGAAGTGCCTCCTCATTGATTTTAGCTGTATTAGGGAAACCTACCCAAAGAACATTGGTGGGATTGGATTCTCGATTTCGTACTCCATAACCCTGACATGCCAACAGAATATGAAACGATAGTTAGCAACATCAGCAGATATAACAGAAAAACAACCAGTAATACAAGAAAGGAAATGCAAACAGAAAATACCTTTGCAGGTCCAGTTCTACCATTGAAGCTGCCTGTCTCCAACCATTCCTAAAAAAAATTCAGAAATATTACATGCAACAAGAACATTCATAAGCTTGTTACCAAGAAAATGCAAACAGTATATCAATACATATAATTAATGGATACACACCGCTCTGCCCCTGGACCTTTGGAAATCAACACACAGTTCTTGTCCACCTAAAACTCTTCCATTCAAGGCTCTATGTGCCGAAATTGCATCTTCCAGCTTGTCAAAATCAATGTACGCGGAAGTCTGATCACGAGAGAATGCAATACCATCAACCTTTCCAAATTTCTTAAACTCCTCCTCCAGCTCCTCCTTTGAAATTGAGGAGCTAATGCCACCAACCCATAAGTTCTTAACAGCTCTAGCCTGAAAAGATAAATCAAGGAACATGGTTTATCAGAAGGCATGGCACGTATTTCAGCAAAGAAATGGGAAACGCAAAATCCTCGTCTAAATAGAACTAGGAATAAAAACTGTCAAGAGAGCAAAAGTAATGCCTGTGTTTACTAAAATCAAAACACAGAATACAGTCAAGACACTGTAGATTATAGCATGTTAAAACATAGGGAACTCAAGACATCTGAAACAATTTCCCGTATAAGCATGTCACTAGTCATGAAACAAGCAACCGTCCCAATTCAGTAGACAATGATCTCTTCCATATAACACGGAGTAGATGCTGAATCACATAAAGCTAGGGTAAAGATAACATCAAAGTAAGATTGCAGCCGGTTTCGTGCATATATCTCTAATTGCACAGCATGGCAGCAGCATGTATGCCACAAAATCGTTTCCCACAAAAACAACTAAGGATCAGTAAACAGCATTTATTTAACTTTGCAACCACAAAACAAATCTGTGTATCATAAGCCCAAGTTCGACACCACCTAAATCTAGCTAATCAGCAGCGCCATAAAATCGTTTCCTCTTATGCGAGGATAGAAAGCACACACATCAAAACCCTAGTTACCGCGGCAAAAATCACATCACCGAGGCACCAGCCTCACCACAATCCGTGAGGGCACCAGATAAAAACACAAAATCGTTTCCTCCTATGCGAGGCTGCTACAAAACACACTCATCGAAACCCTAGTTACCGCCACAAAAATCACATCACCGAGGCACCAGCCTCACCTCATGGGGGGAAATCGAAGGAGACAGTAGATCCAGGCAAGGTGTAAGAAGAGAAGGCATCTCACCGGCCGGGCGAACTCGAGCCGGACGACGCTGCCCTTGACCTTGGAGCCCTGGAGCGCGTCGAGGGCGGCGCGGGCCTCCGGGACGGAGCGGAACAGCACGAACGCGTAGCTCCGCGGGCCCGCGCGGGCCATGACGCAGTCGAGCGCGCCGTGCGGGGAGAAGGACGCCATCACGTCGTCCTCCGCCGCCTGCGCGGGCAGGTTGCCCACCCACAGCGTGTTCGTCTCCGGTGCCCCCGACCCCCCGACCCCGCCTCCACCGGCGGCAGATTCCTTCGCGGGGGAGAGGGAGGACGACGCCTCCCGGCCCGCCGCCTCCTGCGGCTGCGGCTGCGGCGGCGGCGGCTCCGACGACATCGGCGGCGCGCGCGAGGGAGAGAGATCGACGGAAACCCTAAAGCAGATGGGGATTTTTTTTTTTTTTTTTTTTTGGCTTTCGTTTCTGAATTCTGAGGCGATGAGGTGGGGTGAGACGAGCCGGGCGGGATCGGGTTGAGTATATGACGTGTGGGGCACGGCGGCCTAGGAGGGTTCGAGCGATGCGTTCCGGTTACGTGGCGGGAGCAACACGGCATTTAGCAGGCCGGGCTTGAGGAAGAGTAAAAGACAAGGGAAGAGGCCCAGATTGAAACAAGAGAAACTGGCATAGGGCTTTTTGATCCTTATAGGCCGTTCTGTGGAAAGAGAGGGCCAGGAACAGCATCACTGGCAAGCAGGTACGGTAGCAGACTATAAGAGAAGATAAACACATGTCAAGAACATAAAAGAGTAGAGAGAAAAGCAGCGGGCTATAAATTTATAGCCAGTTATAGCACGGACTCCAAAACACAATGTTTGTATGATATGTGTTCATGTATTAATAGTGTACTATATGTTTATATATAACTATTATATGAATTGGCTATTATGTTGACTATAGGTGATTTGGAGTTAGTAGTTGGCTACACTATTAAACTTGCTCTCACTAGTCACAAAAGACAATAAATAATGGCCCGTTCACTTTGATGTCATTTTCAACCTTACCAAATTTTGGCAGGATTTCTTATATGGTTACCAAAATTTGGCAGCAAACTAAATGTAGCCACTTTTGGTAACTTTACCAAAATTTGGTAAGGTTGAAAATGGTATCAAAGTGAACAGGCTCTAAACTTTTTTTAAACATCCGCACTCACTCACTCACCCTTACTAAGGTACACATGCATACTCTATCTCTATATCACTTTCGAAAGACTGGACCGGCATATCTTCGTAGGCAAAATTTGCTATAGGACACTCAAAAATCATGTAATTAGCTGAGAGACACCGAAAAAACGTGACACTGTCGATGGATACTACAAAAATTGTGTAATTGGTTGTAGGAAACTATAGGCATTATTTTATAATTTCCAGGCTGAAAGAGGGGAGAGAAATTTCGAAATGACGTGAATGCCCCCATCTACTCCTTCCTTTCTTCTCAATGCAACCGACATGTGGGCCCGCACACAGTGCCGTCGTCCTCCTCTTGCTAGCGCCCAATGCTAACCGACGCTGTTGCATCCACAATCAGTGATGCCCACTCCAGTGGTTGCCGCAAAGCCGTGCCTCTCGCCGACCGCTGTCCCCGCCCTCGACGTCGCCGTCGTCTCCAGCCGCCATTGTCGCCTCCAGCCGCCGTCGTCGCCTCCGCCCGCCGCCGCGCCCATGCCTAGACCACCTCATCTCCTCCCTCCTCGCCCCGCCCGCACCTTCCCTCCTCTAGACGCCCTCGCCCGCACCCGCGCTCACCCCGTCGGATTCCGCAACAGGGGCATCATGCTCACCATCATCCACCCAGCTCCGCCCATGCCGCTCCTCGGCCGCCTCCCCACGTGCACCCGCCCGCCGCCTCTCTTCCTCTAGTGCTTGCTCGTCATCCAGAGCATGAGCCGCTCCAGGCGCGGCGCATCCACCACGTCGATTTAGTTGACGATGGTCAGGCAAACCTGAAATATGCGAAGGATGCAGCTGGCGAGGCGGACGCAAACTAGTTCTGCCATATTTGTTTGGCACGTGATGATGGCGAGCACCTCCAGGGCATTGCTCCTGTCGAGCAGGAAGGCGAGGTCCCTGTACTCCATGACAATGCAGGAGAGCACCATCTCATGGAGGTGGGGGAAGGCGGCGCCGTGCAGAATGTCGCGGGTGTCCGGGAGACGCCAGACGCCGATGTGGAGGCGGGTGAGCGAGGAGCAGCCAAAGAGCGCGGCGGGGAGGCAGAGGTCGAGCCAAAGACTAGCTCCTGGACACCCTTGGCGGTGAGGACCTCGAGCCAGCGCGCGATCTCGCCCCGGTGCGCCTCCATGGAGGTGGTGGAGAGGTGCGTGCAAGCAGAAGGGGCCCAGGTGCACGGTGAGGACGCAGGACACGATGGCAACGACACCGCTGCCACCACCGCGTCCCTCCGGTGAAAGGTGGGCGTCGACGAGCGCCAGGGGAGCCGAGTGCCAGACGTGGGGCCAGCACAAGGATAGCATGGCGATGCACACACTTTCAAGACAACGACGAAAAGGAAGATGGGCAGGCAAACAAACGGCGAAGCCATCGACACTCGAGGGGCAATCCGGGCATTTCGAAAAAAATCTCACCACTTTCATCCAAAGAATGATAAAATAATGCGTTCGGTGTTCTATGGCTAATTACACAACTTTTATAGTGTCCATGGGCAGTGTCAAATTTTTGCGGTGTCCCTCAGCCAATTACACGATTTTTGCGTGTCTCATAGCAAATTTTGCCATCTTAATATTAATAAAGGCACCACGGGCATCACAGTTACATTATCTACCACTAATTGAATAATTTAGCCTAAATACGAGCATCTGTGTTAAATCTAGAATTTAAACTCGGGTGAGAAGATTTCTTCATAGGTAACCTAACCAATTAAGATACATTCACTTCACAAAAATAAACTGTTTTGAAAGGGTTGGTTTAGTTTATTGCTACTTTCAACCTGCTATTCTATGATGTTTTAGCATTGTCAAACTTCAGTAGAGCTCAGATGTACAGGTTTTAAAGCTTTACCTAATGGGCCAACAAGCCTGTTGGGCAGGCCAACAGCTGCGGCTGCAGCTGCGCACAGTGAGTGCAGCACTGTTCGTGCCAGCTGCGGCAGCCCGGGCAGCCGTACAGGTCCAATCTTGGTTGTTTTTTTAGAGAAGCTTACAGTAAGGTAGCATTAGCTGTAGTATTTTATTTGCCCTAAATCACTGCGAGCCGCATAAATTCTTGGTGATGTTTATAACTTTTTGCCTGAAAGGATGATGTATGTAAAATCAAACGAGCAGTTTACAGTTTGCGAGTGTATGATGCCGAGGGAACTGGAAGGATCAAAGCATGTGATGCGCAAGTGAATTGCAAGACCCACCGGACCGCACCACACAGAAATACCAACTCAATTTGACACAATATGCACTACTTCAAAAAGACAAATGCAACACAAACGATCATCTGAACACGCTCTATACAGAACTACAGAAGTAAGGAGCTGAAGCAAAGTGCATCTTAAGCGATCTTGGAATGATATTTTTGATACAGAAGCAGAGAGAAGAATGCTCTGGATTCTGGAGTCTGGATCATGAACCCTAGTCCCTCAAGCGGTCAGCACCCGGCAAGGCTTCCCAATTCAAAACTTGCTTAGAGCAATAATCTGAAAAGAGCAAACCAACATTTGGGTGGGTGAATTGTACATGAAATGTTAACTGAGACAAACGAAATGGCAACAATACCTTCGAGAATTGCGCAAAGCGTCACGTAGTCATGGTCAGCGGTGCCTCTAAGATATGTATGCCTTCAACGCATCCGGCAAATTTCCAATCACTTTTCCCACTAGGGATTTGACTTTGACGGAAGCAAAAGCTACTAAACTGTCTATTTCCTCCTCGCATTGCTCATAGACAATGAAAACAACGAACATAAATGCCAGTACTGCATTTAGGAGATTGGATAATCAGATGATGAATTGATAGTACGATGATAGTAAATGAGCATAATGCAGGATGTAAAGACAGATATGTCCTTACCAAGACCCATCAGCATTCTGAATTGTAAGTTCAACATTACTTTCACACAGTACAAGAATGCAAATGCCTGCAATTTAACAAATGAACATGGACCAATCATTTATAGCAGAAAACAATTCTCACAAGTGCACCATTGTTGCAACCATATTGTCGATGGCATAGGTTGGGTCAGGAGTAAAGGTTGCAAACAGCTAGTTTGTTGTCCTTCTAAGCAATGGTGAACCAAGGATTGATACGCACGGAGAGTTATCAAATATCAACTATTTGTGACAGGATGAATGATTCTTTATGAAAATCAGTTAGCCATACTAGCTAACATACCAACCAAGAACAGCAAGATAATTGTATCCCATATTAATTGGTTGAGAAATTTTATGGCACTCATACATCTCGTGTAAAGCCATAAAGTATATCAAGTAATCCAACAGTATAAATGGCTTAGCATGGCTGCTCAATAATAATTTGTAACTTTTTTTAGATAATGGAATAAATATTCTGGCCTCTGCACCCGTAGATGCAGAACATTTAAATCTGGAAGCGCATTCTTAGAAATGAAAGCTTCCAGGATCCACCATTTACAACTGGCTGAACACAAACCTTTAGAAACGTAGTCCAGTCATCGCCTTCTGCTAAAACCCTCAATTTATAAATGCCTCCATTCCATATAGAAGCCATCCACACAAGTGTATTCTTCAATGTTTCTTGTGATACTTCAAAATAATCAGAAGTAACCTTCTCAACTGTGAAACCGAACCTGCAACAAGAGTTGGTTGTTCATAATTTATTAAAATTTCTTGTACAAATTGTAGAGTATCCAAAAGAAGGTTAGTTTACTTCTCTATAAAGCATCTCTACCTAAAAACAGGTACATGACTCAATTGCATCATTATTAATTAAAAGATAGCTGAAAATCACAGGGAATCAATATACATACACTTGTGGAGGCAGCACGCCATGGATGAAAAGTGCCAGCGAGATCACCAGAAGAATTTTGGCAGCTGACGAGACAAAAGTTCTGTCGGAAAGCAGAAACCAGTAGAACAGCAGAAACAATACTGTGACATATGAAAATGTTTTCTTTTCATCCCTCCAAAGGAGAATATCAGCAGCTGCAACAAAATTTTAGCAAAATTAACAATAAGACATGTATGGTAACAAAACAATGAGTAAACAACAACGCAAGGCATCTTGGAAAACCACAATTCAATATCAGAAAGTTCTGGTTTTGTATAATTCATTGGCAAGCACAGAAGAAAAGGGGGAAGTTATTTGTCTTGCAGAAGAGTATATCTCACTTATTCCACTGCCTAGCAGCTTCTCTGCTTTTGATGATCCAAAAGAGCCTCTTTTCCTGGACAGATCCAACTTATCTGGTAGTTCTGATAATGATCCAACAGTTCTCATGATGCCATCCTGCATGCACATCAAGCATCAAAACTATGGTATATCAACATTAAAGTTAGGGAAAAAACACTCACAGGCTTCTTTGAGAAGATAAAGAGATCAACAATAAATATGGAACGCCAGAAAGAGTAAAATGCAAAATATATTGAGAAGACAAGGTGAAATGAATGATTATCAATACTGCAAGGTCGGAAAGAGCTCACCTCCAATGATACGATTGGGTGGTACCCAAGTAGCTTTCTAGCTCTTGAAATGCTGAGAGTTCTTGTGCATGACAAGAAGTATACCATGTCAGGATGGAGAAGTGGGGAAGATAATATTTGTAAACCCAACTTGTGATACATCATGTTGGAGAATAAGGCTGCAGATGACAAGATCTTGGCGGGGAGATTAAACTTGGGCCTAAGAAAATAAAAGAGAGGCAACAGTAAATTTCTCGAATAGCCTTTTGTGCATGTACATGTGCTTTCTGTTTGTGCGCATGTCAGAGTGAGACAAAAAGAGAGAGACCTCTGACAACCCATGGCTTCCATCAAACAAGACATAAACTCCCATGTTTCAATAGGTTCATCATTGGTAACAAAAAAGGGCTGCAAAGTTTTAGATGGAACAATTAACTATCAAAGTAAGATGACCAAATTATAGGATTTCAATTTGTAAAAACGTACCTTTCCAGCAACAGAACTTGCGTTTGAACATAAAGCTTGCTCAGCACAGATGTTGGCATGGGCCACATTTTCCACATAAGTGAAGTCACACATATTAGCACCACTACCTACTACAAACTGAACAGGCATGTGTAAGTAGCTAGAATAACCAATATTACATCTGCAAATCGAAGCCCAGATTGAAGTATCTCAGTTATGAGACTCGAAGTCTAAGGACTCGTGTAACCTTTGGCTGTGTATATCCACTTGTGGATATAGAGGCCGGATTTTTATTATCCATTATCTAAAAAAAATCGAAGCCCAGATTGGAACAGGATGCAATTCCAACATTGAAGTATTAAGACTGCATAGATCATGATGATCTGATTGAGTCAAAGTGGCTGAGTTGCTAAGAACTATAAGCCTAAACCAATTAATAGACTAACTAGAGTAGCATGCTGCATCTGCATTATTTCAAAAGGAAAGCATGACTGCTAGATCCGGAGTTGTAATTGACCACCAAATGAGAGAACTGATTTTACACTCAACAGTCCACACCATGAAACCATGAACCCTTAAATACAATTACTTCATGGATCATATCAGTATGAAATTGACCAAGCTATCAAGCTAGCAAACAGAAAACAAGCTACTAGCTGGGTTTGGAGTACCTTGCCAAGGGAAGACCTCGCATATCCAGCGACGAACCGCACGAGGCTCGAATCGCCCGGCCCAAACATATTGCTCGGCCGCAACACGCACGTCCGCATTCCGTTCTTCCCATCCGCACTCAGCACCATCATCTCCACCTGCGCCCTCAGCTCGATCGCTGCATTTCCTAACTGCACAACCACAGCCACAGAGACCAAGCAAGTGTCACTCCACAGTCCACCACAGCCAAGGATCCGAAGCTTGAACACTACCATCCAGCGAGCGACGCCACGACCAGATCACGACAAGAGAGCAGCACAATGCCGCGAGTGGAGCACTCGAGTCCGTACCTTGTCAGGGTAAGGCAAGGCGTCCTCGTCCGCGTCGACCACATCCCGCGCGCCGGCGACCACCACGTCGGCCGAGCCGGTGTACACCACCGTCCTGACGCCGCTCCGGCAGCAGGCGGCGAGGAGCCGCCTCGTGCCCTCCACGGCGAGGCGGTGCAGTTGCAGGAAGGAGGACCCGTCGCCGGTGGGGTCCACGTGGAAGACGGCCTCGACCCCGGCGAGCGCGCGGGCGAGGGAGGCGGGGTCGCAGAGGTCGACGGCGAGGTGGTGGTGGGCGAGCGGGGAGCCCGGCGGCGGGGAGGTGGTGGTGGTTGTGGTGGGCGGAGAGGGGTCGAGGACGGCGACGGTGGACCAGCGGCCGGAGGCGGCGAGCGCGGCGGCGAGGTGGCGGCCGAGGAGGGTGGAGCGGCCGAAGGTGACGGCGCAGCAGGCGGGCTTGCGTGGGCCCGGGCCCGGGCCGGGCTCGGCGGTCGCCATCGCTGGTGGGGGTGGAGGGGAGGGGAGGGAGTGGGAGAAAGATGGTGGGACTAGGCGAAGACGACGGGTTGTGTTTGGGGGAATGTTTGAGCCGTGCCTAGTAGAACTGTAGAAGTGTTTTGACCGGTTTGAATTATATTTGCTCTTGTTTATAGTAATTTAGTTCGATTTCAAATTTCGTTTTTGAATCGGTTCAATTTTTATACTGCCTTTACTTTTTGAAAACATTTAAGTTTCATCAAGTTTATAAAAAGAAATAGCAACATTTCTAATACAAAATAATATATAATCATAATATATTTAATGTTATATTTAATTAAACTAATTTGATGTTGTAGATGTTGTTAAAGTTTTTTATAAGCTTGATCAAAACTAACAAAGTTTTACTAGAAAAAAGTAAAAACGATTTATAAATGAATTGGAGGGAGTAGGAACTTGTAAATTCTTTCCATGTTCCAAGCAGCGGCTAACCATGTTTCGCATTGTGGGCTGCGGCATTGCCTCCATATTAACATCCAAGCATCAATCTTGCAGGAAGTAATGTCTTTCGGTGATGTATCACATCGAGTTATTGAGTATGAATATGATTGAGCAACACTTTTCCAAAATGTGACGTGATGTACAAACAAGCCTGGCATGTTAGGTCACTAATGAAAGGACAGTCCAAGAAGCCAATGTGTTGTTGATCACTTGCAATGAAGTTGATCGAGTGATCAGTGTCAGTGTGTTACCATGTCAACACATTCAGGTACACTCCAGTGTAAAATAAGTCACAAAAAGCGCACCAACTGCCTACTCCGTAAGAACTGACTCTTAAACACTTCAAATGAAATGAGTCATAAGGACAGGATTGAGATTCTGGGAGAACTATCAATCTCTAACTCGCATTCTTTTTACAGAGTTGATGATAACAGATCACACTTATTTGTAGTTGATAGAAAGAATCACCAGCTGCTATTGGACGACATTTTACAACCACTGCCAAAAGCTACATACACCGCGACACAATTTTGCCGAAGCATTTTAGAAACAAACTAGCTCGATCTTATGTAGTCATCATATACCTTGTAGTTCTTTTGTTTCTCTTGTGGAGTTCTTTGTCTGCTTCTCTCCTCAACATGACAATTGGGTCATGGACGTGAAATTTTCCTTTTTTATGGTTAGTTAAAAGTTATCCTTCGCTCGTCGAACAACTTCAAGAACGCGTGCATCATCAAAATGGTCTGGGATGGACAGGGTATTCTTTATCTCTGGACTTGAGGTCCTCAGAAAAGGATTGCACTGCTTCTCTCTCCCAATTGTTGTTGGCACCTGGCGAACATGAAGCCAAAAAAAAAAAAAACAAGTTAAATAATCCCAATCAAGCCACTATCATGCAATCTGCAGTTGTGATTGACAACCCCACATAGCTTGGCTTTTTATGTTAATACTATCTAGAATTGGTCATATGTTGCTTTCATGAAGAGAATGAGCTATTGGCACTAGATTGAACCCTTTTTCCATCTCATTCTAGTCTTGCAGTGATGTTTAAGTATAGTTGGTATTCTTTCAAATAATGTGGGAAACATTTTACACCAAAATCAATTGTTAATTTTCTTCTTAAACAACCAAAAGCACTTCAGATAGTGCACAGCAACAAAACGTAGTTCCTTAAAGTTGCTATAAAACCTTCCCATCATTTTCAATTGTAACATGATTTGACCTTCTAGTGCCAATTCCTGCAAGATACAACCTTTATTTCACATCAAGATACGGAGTATGTTATCCTGACTTCTTTCTAGTTCAACATAAGACATCTTAGGGGCTGAGAGGTTAAGACAGAATACTATCATTAACATGATAGGGTTGTCAATAAATTCAGATGCATGAACTTCCAAACAAACAATTGCGCCTAAATATCTATGCACCAAAATACCAAATGAGCTGGCTTCTCTCAGAAAAAGTTTAGAAGTAAAAGCAAGAAACATCATAAAATAATGTGTAATAGAATTGGATTGTCAAGAAAACCATGAATATGTATGGTTTGTATAGCACTAATACCGTGGGTGTATTCCTCTTGCGGAGATCAGCGGCATTTGCAGCGTATTCCTGTAAGTCTTTATTTCCTGGTTCTATGCTCAAGGCAAACTTTGAATTGCTCTGCGGATAGATACTTGAAGCATAAATAACAGGTCAATGAAGATTTATTTGTGGAATTGAAAATGAACGTTGGATATTCACCAATGTATATTCATGTCCGCAATACACTCTTGTCTCATCCGGAAGTGCTATAATTTTCTGGAGTGAAGAGTACATCTGCAGCACAAATTTGAAAAAAAGAGGAATTATGCACAGGTCTCAATAATAGTTACAGGGAAATGCATTACATACTTAACCAACTTGTATAAAAAGAAGCTATTGATGACCAACAGAAATACCACAAATTAACAGTCTTCTACCTTTTCTGCATCTCTGGTTACTAAGTGAACTAATCTAAGGTGCTAGCAGTTTGTTTAATCCCATCCGCTGTTTGATGTACAAATAGATGAAGGTTTGATAATCCATGTAGCAAGAACTTCCAGTTCATCTGATTGTTTATAGAGAACGTTTAAAGCCTCTTCTGTTATATATCTTAAATAATCATGGCTAATAGATCGCTAGTCTAGTTTACAAGTAATCTAGATTATATTGATAACTATGGCGCGGCAAAAGGATCTTAATGGTCTCAACAAATTGCTTAAGGCCTTGCCATCAGATTCATCTTTGCTGAGGTAAAATTGGCAGGGAACCAGTTTCATTCAAAGATCTAACAGGGAATGAACAAGTACATGGAATCAAGCAAAACATAGCATTTGGTGTTTAATTACTTCCATAAAGTGCACATGAAGATGACTCTGTAAAAATTAAAAAGAACCTGTTGTGGAGTCCCTTCAAAAAGCTTTCCACATGACAAACTAAACAATGTGTCCCCTGTAAATATTGCTCCAGATCCAGGGAAGTGGTAGCACACATGACCTAATATAAGTAGAAGGGAAATTGGTGATTTTTTTTTAAAAAAAAAGATAGTATTGACATATCTTGTAAATAAACATAAGATGCAAAAATCGCAATATAACCTTCTCCCAAAAAAATGGTACACCTTCAAATATGCTTCATATAAGGGTGTGCCACTACTTGAGTTTAACACATGTACATGTGGCCAACTGGCCATGAGCGCCCACAGGAAACTATCACATGTGCTTGTGGGGAAGGTGGCAAAGAAAGCAATTTGAACTTCAGGTTAAAAATTTAGAGGCACTCTTAGCTTGAATACTTCCAGTAATCACCAACCAAGTGCAAAAAATGTGATGTCTCATGTTTAAGGAAATCTAGTACATACACATTCAGACTTGGCATAATTCGATAATGAAGAAAAAGAAAGAAGATAAATCTAATAAGAAACTTGCAAGCACGCACCTGATGTATGACCAGGAGTTTCCATTACAAGAACTTGATGACCAGCAAACATCCATGTGTCACCCTCACTAAGAGTTATGTCAATGCCTGGAATTCTATCCCTATCCTTTGCAGAACCAATCACCTAGTTAAACAAACAAAATTCATAAACCAAAAATATCAAAACCACATTTACTCATAAACTTTGGTGTTACAGGTGGTAGGAGCACCCAGTGGATAGATAATGGCATGCTGGAAAACAAACTGTGTCAACTATCAATAGGTCCTTTTTATTATTCGTATAGAAACTCGTCACATCTTAAATTTAATACTGTAAGCAGATTTATAAACTAAATTTATAACATCAAATTTAACCTTGAAAAATGCTGATCTGTTTATTGCTACCATATTACTCATTGTCCATAAGAACTCATAACAATACACAATTTAGTGCTACAAACAATGGAACAAACGAAAATAAGAGAGGCAACCTATGTGCATACCTTTGCACCATATTTTGCCTTCAGTTCCAAGTTGCCACCAGTATGGTCATAGTGATGATGGGTGTTCAGTATGTAGGTCAAGTTCTGGTTTCTTTTTTCTAGTGCATTTATGATTGGCGTTGCTTCAGAAGGGTCCACAACTCCAACTGTTCCAGTATCAACATCATGTAGGATGTAAGCATAGTTATCTTGAAGGCAGGGTACCTACACAAGAAGCATAAACATTGTTGGCAACAAATACTATAGATAATTCCAATGTAGCTATCCCCAATAACCCTTTTATGCGAAGCAAGGAAAGCATAAGGAGGGTTGGTGATAGAGAGGGTCTGTCTATCCAAAATAAAGTTAGATCTGATCCAGTGTTTTGAGTTGGGATGCTACGCTTAAGAACCAGTATGTCTGGAAGAAACTATGAACAAGTGTTCAGGAATAAAGTAAAAAAGAGTGCAAAATCATATAGACGACTAAAGTATGCTTGATAGGTCACAGAAAATGATACAATTTAATGTGTTGAACATATATCACATTCATGCAGAAGAATCGAGAGCAGAAAGAAAAAAAAAACAGAACAAAGCAACAACAAAAAGGTGGAAGAACAATTAGGGAAGCTTCTTTATGTGAGCATGGCCACTTTCTTATTGAGAACGCCCCAAAGTTTTTATCCCAAAACCAATGCCACCAGCAACACCATCCAGTTGCAACAAATTCTTCACATCTAGGTTTGATTAGTCGCTGTGGAAAAAATTAGTGTTGTCTGTTGAATCGAATCCTGCCCTCCAAATATCTTTTATGCTTATGCAGCAATCAGATTTTCTTTTCAACTGATGAGCAAACATGTGCAGCACGAAGTATCATAACAATTAATTGATTGCAATAACAATAATATCAACTCTCAGGATGATACTCACAATCCACAAGCCCAATCAAGTTGCAATAACAATTCACTGACAGGGAGAATAACAACATAATAAAATATCTCAGGATACTCACGAGCTCAATTTGCAGCGACGACGAGACGCTGGTCATGTTGCAGAGGAACCGCCCAGCGCCAAACATCCGTCCCACCCCGTGCAGCGTCCTCAGAGGCATGACGAGCAGCGTGCCGATTCCGTACAGCAGCGGCTTGCCAAGCCATTCCTTGCGCACGCTTGGCAGCAACGACGGCTGCCCTCTGATCTGCAAACCCAACACAACAAACAATCGTCAGCCATCCCAACTCTGAATTCATAGAACTCTATCATCACACAACTAATTCAGCAATCAAATACCCAATTCTATACCGCGGAACTCCATACAAAAAATTCTTCCAGTAATCCGGCAAAACTGACTAGAATCGAACACACTAGGGAATAATCAGGCACGTCGCCGATATCGGCAAAAACCCGGAAAGCGAGGGACCGAAGCCAAAAACGCGACGGTTTCGTTCACAGCGGAGGAGGCACGCACACCCCCCGCAGCGACGCGCCCCTCCGACCCAATCCCCCCAGATCCAAGCCCCCGAACACCATCCCTACCGGAGATCGCCCAACAACAATCCATCAAACGGAAACGGAGCGGGAGGGGGAGAGGGAAGGGAGCCCGACCGTGGGGGCAGCGGAGGATGAGCACCGCGGGAGGGAGGAGGCCACGAGCGAGCACGCCTTGGACAGCATCCGCATTTCCTGCTCTCCCTCCCCCTTCCTTCCTCAACCGCCGCCGCCGCCGCTCGTCGCCGCCGGCGGTGAGGTCGCGAGTACTCACGCGAGACGAGAGGAGTGGAGGAGAACCCGAGAAAGCAATGGAGACAAGAGGAGAGGAGAGAGGAAGGCACGGCAAGTACTAGTGGGAAAAGGGGTGAGAGAGAGATGGGGGGTTGGCCGGCTGTGATGATGGCGCTGGCTCGCCTCGCCTCGCCTCGGGCCGTGGGGCCCACCTCGCCTGGGCTGGTGGGCCCGGGGGCTTCTCTGATGCTGGTGAGAGGGTCCCGTAGGGTCGATCTGAGCCGTCCATTCGACGATGGACGGTGATGGATGGGGACGCGAGGCGGTGTGGGTGGGTGACGGGCGGCGTCACGCGTTCGTGTGATCTTTGGGGCGCTTGGACGTGTTCGTCGTAGGACGATTTTTCTCTCCCGCGAAAATTTTGCGGGTTTTTTTTTCCTTTTGAGAATTTGCCGTCCACGTGAATTTGAATTTTAATTCTGCGTTGTGTCTTTTGATAATTTGTGATTTTTTAACTCGTGAAATTCTTTGGTTTTTGGAGCAAGCCTTTTAGTCCCCAGTTTTATAGACTCGTGAACTTGCTGCTACCTGAATTCAGAATTCCTACAGAATTCAACGAGCTCCGTGCGGCCGGTACAAAAGCTTGGCTCCAATGCACACAAATTTCAACAGAAGTACGCAGAGTTCAATAAAGCGTCTCAAGGACAACTACTACTAGTTGTCTCGTTGACTTCACGAGATTACACGAGAAGTCTTAAAACAAAACAAAAGGATAACACGAGACAAAAGTAAATTAAGAAAAAAATCAGAGATAACACGAGGAGCAACAGAATATTCTTTCTAGTACTTCATACTCTACTGCTCCAATGGATTGAACAAATAATTAAATGGACAGCAAAATTTCACGAGAAGTCGATAGTCTTTAAGCACAAACCACTTTCCAACCTCTAAAATTCGGAGAACACATCCATCCCATCGAGTGGTGGAACTCACAATCCAGAGTTACCCAATCGACGTCAGTAATAAATACAGGTCAGTTCGTCATCACCTTTCTTTTTCCTCTTCTGTAACAAAAGAAAAAGAAATAGAAGTAATCCCACAAAAGAAAAAGGGAAAATAGAGAGAGGTATAAGCCCCAAAAAAACTAAATTAGCTAGGTGGCCAAGCCCGTTTGCTGGCCCAATCAAATCCCACACGCTATTTCCGGCCCAATTAGGCCCACCAAATCGCCCGCGTCAACATCAGCGTCACCCCTTCTTCGCGTTCGCCGGCGCCGCCGGCGCCGGCGCGGAAGCCCCGCCGCCGAGAACTGCGGCGGCCGAGTCGACGTTGGTGAGGAGGTACTCGTAGATCTTCTTCCTTAGCCGCTCGATCGTCTCCTCGGGTACGGCACTGCCACCGTTCGCCGGAGCAGCGGCAATGGTGGCCGCGGCAGCTTCTCCGTCCGCTTCAGGCGGCGGCGGGGGAGTCGCCTCGCCGCGCTTCCCGATCTCGCCGAGCCAGTCGTTGACTCGCTTCAGCTGCGGGAGCATCCTGGCCGCGCGCTCGCGGTCCCACGGCGCCGCCGCCGCCGCCACGTCGGCGTCGAGGAAGCGCTCCACGAACCCGAGGAACCAGCCCCTCGACTCGTCGCCGAGCCGCCTCGCCAGCTCGACCCTCTCCTCCGCGCCTACTCCCTTCTCCCACTCCGGCAGCGGGGGAGGCGCCGCGGTTGCCGCCGCCGTAGCCGCTGGCCCCGTCCTCGCCTTCCCCTTCGCGGGGGACATCCGCGACTTCGCCGGCGACGACTTCACAGCGTTGGCCGCCGCCGATGCGGCCGGCTTCGCCGACTCGTCAACGACGAGCACGGCCAGCGGTGACGAGATCGTCGCCGGGACCGGCTTAAGGTTGTAGAGGCCGAAGGCGGAGAGGTCCGTGGCAAGCGCGGCGCTCACCCAGGACGTAGCCCGGCGGCGGCGCTCGGCCGCGACGGCGGCCGTCTCCTCGTCGGTGACCGACACCACCGTCCCGGCGTCGCTGGCCGCCGAGCGATCCGGCGAGGATACCGATGCGGCGGACGACCTCGCGAGGGTGTCGGTGATCACCGCGGCGCGGGACAGCGCGGTGTGGAGGGCGAGGAACCGCTCGACCGCCGGCTGCGGGTTCTGCTCCTCCGCCGTCGAGCTCACCTCCGCGTACGAGCTGCTCCGACCAACACAAGCAAGTAAGAAGGTTACTACATTGATCAAATCACTATCACATACTGTACAAGATTAAAAAAAAAGGGAAAATGATTGTTAAAATGGCATTGTACAAATCAGTGCCAAAATGCAGCAATTTCTACCATCTAGCTGAATGAATACACATTTTACAGTTAATTTGGGATCAGGAATCCAGTATACGTAAATTTGCCACTAGAATTGATGGCATCGGCAGTAGATGGCACTAGAGTTGCCCAGGTAAATGAACAGGCGATGCTAGTGAAAGAAAACAATAAACAGTCGCCAGTGCAGTCCTTGTCTGACCAATGTCTAACATTGGCGAGCATTGCTACACAATGCAACAAGAAAAGTAGGCCATAGGGGAAGTACAACAGTTCAGAAACTGTTTATCCATGTTGTGTACCATGCAGATGCCAAAAATCAGACAAACACATAGGTCAATTTCAAGATCTCTAACTGTATAAAAATGGAGCTACAGTAGCTGTGATCCTTGTTTTTGGGACCGTATGCTTGTACCTTGAGCTAACATATGTACTTGACTTGCCATGGACCATAAGACACTCAGAATTATAGTTGAAGTTAGTTTTGACCATTACGAGTTAATCTTTATTAGTGAAAATATGTAGTTAAGTACCATGTGTACTCAGATCAGGCCATCATGGGGTAAAAGGTTGGGCATGGATGGATCATGGGTCTAAAAGGGATGAACCGAGCTGGCTGATAGCATTATTGCGACATTGAAGACAGCTAGAACTGGGACATTTGGAGTGTGATGCCGGTGTGTTATTAATGATCTTGCTCTACTGATATGGAACCATGTGACATGAACAGAAAGGCTTAAGAAAACACTGTTAACCTGATGCCACCTGTCCTGGTGCTGAATCACCATGCCCTGTAGTATTTAGCATGTTTGTCAGCCTGGGAACAGGCAATCAAGGCTGTCTACGACCAGGAGCCATGTGAAACCCTGAAGGTTTTGTAAAGCTTACCAGATAGTACATCTTATAAGTCTTTGAATGCATAGTTGACTCAACTATATGTACCATTGAAAATGAAGTAACAGTATTTAAACTAAAAATGGTGTAGGTAGAGAGCACTTAAGCACAAATTCAACATAGGATACCACTAGCAAATTATGGCAGAACACGAGTTCATGCAAAAATCTCCAGGTCATAGTTTGGCACCTGTGCTAAAGATTATCGTCTACGATATAATTTAGGACGCATAATGGGATTCAGTCTGAGTATCAAACATGTGTTCATCATTATCTAGAAACTGATTGTACCTTTACCAAATTATTAACATATCATATATGGTTGTGGGCCAATAAGAAAATACTCTTGGTAGAAATTCAGAAAACAACCCAAACATAACATACTAACTTCTATGATGAATTGATCACACAGCCAGCGACTATGGAGAAAAGGTACCTCAAACATCTGAGCAAGCTCTCTGCAGCAGAAGCTTCCTGAATGGCTTCAACAGCAGCCATTTGTGCTGACTCCCTATATTTCAGGAGCTCCTGTCGAAGAAATATGCCATACAGCATAAGCACATACCATCAGACATATAAACCATAATCTAACGTGCTAGCATGATAAAACTATGTTTTCCAACATTTTTACCCCTTTTTCCCCTCAAGTAATGGATGAAAGATATCCATATACATTAGTAGAATATGGCTCCAGTAATACAAGGAAAGCTAGTCAGGATGAAAGTATTCAGGAATCTGATAACCATAGTCTCTCTGGTATGGTAACATAAAAATAAATATGCTCATTTTTTTCAGCTATGATTTATCTCTGATGCTGGTGTATAATAAAACCATATTGCTTGTGTTGATGAACAGCCATACCTTTCCTAATTTGGCGAGTGATGGAGGAAGTGTTGTCCATGAATTACTAGCATCTGTCAGTTTTTTGCTGTTGGGGGGAACCTCTACTAAATTTGTAACATTTGGGTTGCTTATCCCAGATGTTCGCTTTACAGTAGGAGGATGCTTCTTCATTGCTTTGTCGGCGTCATCTGAAGGAGCATTTGCAGTGGTCTTCTTAGCAGGGTTCTGAAGCTTACTATCATCTTTATGTTGCACCTTCTCATCCACAGGAGGCTTTCGTCTAGGAATCTGCGTGTAAGAACCTATATATTAGTAATAAAGGACTTTGGAGTAAAACTAGTGTATTGTACAAAAATAAACAGATAGTGCATCATTTCCTTGCATATCATCATGAAGATAAACATTAATATGAAGATATGAAATATGAACTATATATCATTCGAAAAATAAATCCTACCCTAATTGTTTTCGAGAAAAAATGTGTTACTAAATATAAAAAAATCAAGTGCATTTACACATAGCATAGCCAATGTGGTACACACCGTTGCCATTGTGCCCCTGTTCTCAGGCTTTTTTTCAAGTTTGGTCATCTTTGAATCTGAATTGGTTTTCCCTTTTGTATCCACCTTTCCTTCCCAGCTTCTTCTCAATGCCTTCGGACCTGATCCGATACTCAATATGGAGCTACTTATACCTGCAGAGGACTTCCTCCCTGCCGTTGTAACCTTCAAAACGGAAGCTGCCTTTTCTAACAAGGAAAGCCTAGAAGACGACGCTTTCTCAGCTCCTTTTACTTTGTTTCTCTGTTTTAGATCATTAGAGAATCTATCAAATGATGCAGGCAGAGAATAGACGCTTGTTGGAGATGAAGGTGTTGATCTAGTGCCAGCAGGTTTCGCCTTTGACTTAATTGCTTCCTTCTTATCACCAAGACCATTCAAAGCTTGTTTTGACAGCGATGAATTTGATTTGGTGAGCATCGGTTTCTTATTTTCTGCCCCGATAGTTTTATGGGAAGCATTTATTTTCCCTAACTTGCCCTTTTCCTTTTCTAGTGACAAGCTGCTGGTATCTTTCAACCCATTTGTTGTCTTCAATCCATTTGTCGTTTTCAATCCATTGGTTGGTTGTGCCTTCTTGTTGCCTAGAAAATTTGAGGAGCTAGTTACCACAAGGTCCTCAGGATTGCCAACACAAGCATGGCGGCCAGGAACTGGCCGAACTCCCCGTAGGATGGGTACTGGAGTGGCTGCCTCTAGGCGGTCTACATGGATGAACTGCCCTAACTGAATCTTGTCGCTCAAGATGAGATCATGCTGATCCTCCGGAAGGGAAACATAAGTGGCATGGGACGAATCGGACACCTTGAGGTAGAACCCTTGGTTAGTGAAGAGATCACTCCCCGCAAGTGCCGGAACAATGCTGACAACCTGCAGAAGGGATGACCGATGCTCGCCTGCGACTTTAACATCGGTGTTCATATGCTGGAGGAGCTTGACAAGGACACCAGGTACCAACGACGCCATTGCTGTAACTCCTTAAAGGCTTACAGCGCATTACTCTGCATTACAAAAAGGGGAAAGTGTTACAGATCATCTTATAGAACCATCAATGAATTGGAACTGAATTTTTTTATCAAAAAGCTACTATCAGTTAACAGGTAGGCAATCCGATTATCCCAACAAAAGTGAAACCGGTGCCCCCTGAATGCAATAAAGGTTACAACTTTTTCATGAGTGTAATCTAGCAGAAACCTGGCTCACAAGGAACCTTTGCATTTACTAATCCTCCTAAATGCTTGAAGTATCCTTCATAGCAAGTAAATCTACAGAGGTGAGTTTGGAACACAAATTTAATACAAACTTCATACGAACAACTAACTAATCAAATGGATGGTAGCACACCAGCAGAAACGAATTTCTGTGTGCAAAGCCAGTAAATTTGAAACGGAAATGGGGGAAGAAGACAGCCAAGCACACCTATCCAACAGTAGAGCTAGCATGTTGGAAACAGTACACAAGCATATAAATGAGTGGTAATCCAAGGTACAGGAAGGAGGAGGAGAGGGGAAGTCTTTGCTTGTAAGGTATTGAATTGAATCCAAAGCAACAAGGGGCAACAAGAGGAGCAGATACCAGAAGACTCATCATGGCATCAATGTGGGCATATGGGCACTGGTCTTGTCCCCAATCCAGTCTTTCTCTCTCTCTCTTTTTTTCCACAGTAAAAAGTAAAATAGCAAGATGAACAACAACAACAACAACAACACCAACCAACCAACCAAATCTTGCGCAGAGTGTACTTGCTCTACCAATTGTTACCACCTTAAAGAATTGCCAATGTGGGGAAGAAATCAGAGGATTGCTTAATTAATATTTCATCAGTAAAGAATGAAGCAGCAAACAGAACAAATCCTGGTGAATTCCAGGAAATACTAAACAACAAAAGCGGTCCAAACTCCAAAAGCAGAAGAAATACTACTCATCTTGGAAAAATGGAAATCTCCGCTCCAACGCAAGGCGGGCACGGTCACTCGAGCAAGAGAAGCAACAACAAATCTTGGGTCGAAAATTAAAAAAAAAAACAAGGAAAGGAGATGGGAAACCAACCAGTCTCTTGGAGGAGAATCCGCGAAATCTGCGCTCACTTCTCCTTCCCGTGGGCGGCGAGGAGGAAAAGTTGGATTCCTTGTTGAGCTTGAGCCCCCTCCCTCTCCGCCCTGACGAAGCAGAGCTCTGCTTACGCTGGCAAAGAGAGAAAAAAAGGCTGCACCGGCCTATGATCCTAGGCTTCAGAGATGGAGTAGCAATAGCACGACGCAGCAGCAGTGGTCACATCCATCCAAGAACAAGCTAGAACCTCCTCTCCTACTACTCCTACCTCTCTCTCTCGTCGCGCTACGCGCAGGCGCAGGCGTCTCGTGGACCAGCGCGAGGAGGAGGAAGAGAGAGAGAGAGAGAGAGAGAGAGAGAGAGAGGCGGGACGAATCGGCTTGTTGGAGTTGGGAGGGGTGGGGAGTGGGAAGAAGAATAGCAGCAACCGCCCCGACCGCCCGCGCGCGGAGCAAAAGAAAGAAAAAAGGGAGAGCCGAGCTGACGACGCACGCAAACGCGAGGGAGAGGGAGGCCAGCATAATGCAACCGGACCGACCCGTGTGAATCTACTTATACGTTGTTAACCCGTTTCGATTCAACTAACTTGTTGTTATCTAAGAGATACAAATGAATCAACTCATAAATCTATTTATAGATAAATCAGTATATAATCATAATTAATCTGTTATTTATGGATTACTCGCTAATTTTATTTATAAGCGGGTTAGCATGCTTGTATTTTAGAGGCAACGCATCCACCATTCCACGGCTCTTCCACCGTTGCGAGTGCAAAGGCTACAAAAGGCAGTCACGCACGGCATCGGCATGGTCCATGGCTCCATGCGGTGGTGTGGACCGTGTGGTGTACTAGTTGGTGTGGAGCGAGCAGTGCAGCGGTGTTGTGTGGGTGTTGAGGTTTGCCGTTGCTTTCCTTTCCTTTCCCCACCCCGGGGACAGGGGCCGAGGCGAACCCCGCGCGGCAGCACGGAGATTCTCTTCCTCCCTTTCTTTCTTTAGGGTGTGTTTGAGGAGAAGGGGATTGGAGAGACTGGGAAGATACGCAAAATGAGGTGGGCCATTAGCATATGATTAATTGAGTATTAACTATTTTAAATTGCAAAAATTGATTAATATGATTTTTTAAAGCAACTTTCCTATAGAATTTTTTTGCAAAAAACGCACCATTTAGTAGTTTGGGAAGCGTGCGCGCGGAAAACGAGGAGCTTTCTCACCCAATGTCACTGGAACGAACACAGCCTTAATCCACACACACCCTCGGTTTTAAACTAAAATAATTTAGAATTAGATATGACTTAAGCTAATACTTCTTAAAAAAATATGCAGAACTGGATATGACATATCGGATACTATGTTGGTTTTTATAAGACATATGAAGTATACTACAAATATAAACAGAGATTGAGTTTTATCTCATACTCTATATATAATATATATTTATTATGATAAAGAGGTTGTATTTTTCTTAATGACATGTTACAACAGTTTATTTAAGAGATCAGCTGGGATTACGCGGAATTTATGAAATGGCCAAAATTAATGGATTGACGGATAATATGATTTTTAAGATATTATTTATAAGGTATAAACAAATAAGTTAACTGAAAAGTTGCTTTAGAAAAATATTCTGAAAATATATATATATATATATATATATATATATATATATATATATATATATATATATATATATATATATATATATATATAATTGTTTTTACTTAAAATATATCGTTTAGGAGATTGGAAAACGTGTAAGGCCTTGTTTAGATCCTCCAAAATAGCAGCAAAAGTTTTGCTATTTTATAGCACTTTTTGCCATTTTGGATCTAAACACTAGTAGTAAAAGTTGGCAATTTAGCATTTGCTAATCCATAGTAGCAAATTGTGCCAAAAAAGTGCTTTAGTACCACTCCCTCTCTCTTTCTCTCTCTCACTTTAGTGCTAGAATGGCAAAACTTTAACATACATCTAAACACCAATTAGTACTTTTACAATGTCAAAACTTTTACCACCAAAATTTTTGCCATTTGCCATTCCAAATGGATCTAAACAGGCCCTAAGTAAAAAACCCAAATACATCATCATAAAAGTAAAGGGCGGTTGATGAAAAACTGAAAATCGGTTTGCTGGCGCCAAAGAAAATTTCTTTCATGGTTTTCTCTGCCAAGTCATTACTCATTGGCAATATCTAGCTAACCTACCAGCAGCAGCAGATCAAAAGGTGACATGAGATGAGTGAAGGAGTCAGAGCAGCGTCTGTACGACCTGCGACTAACAGAAAAGGGTCTTCACTCTTCAGGATGGTCAGCGTAGACACTTTATGGTGGCATGGTAACATGTACAATACTCCCTCATTCGTCCCAAAACATTAAAAAAAAAAGAGATTGAATAGAAACTCTACGATACTCTAAATCTAAATAGAAAAAATATTTTATTCGATTCTAAGGTTTTATAGTTTGGAATAAAGGTAGCATAACAATACGGTTCTCATCAAATTAATCTTATTTAGCTCATGTTGGTTACCAAAAAGTCATAGCTAAAGTAAAAAAAAATAAATTTGAAAGTTGATTCTGATATTTTTTTTAACGTAGTTTTTTTAGCATTAATTTCAAGTCGCTGAGAATACATATATAAAAAATACTTTTATACACAAATTATTTTTTGGTCGGTAATAAACGTTATGGTTTATCATCAGCTTTTGGATAAACCATACATCCATGACTTTTAATCATTTCTTATAAAAAGAAAATGAAGTTACTTTCTTATCAGCATATCATAATGATGAGATACAGACATTAGTCCGAGTAAAACCGTACAGATATATAATCCATGTGATTTTCTTGTACCAACATCCATCGCTGATGATGTACTGATTCTGATGGGTAGAGAGTAGAGTGGTCATGACAAGCAAACAATCGAGACCGGCCGGTCGTCTCACTCTCACCCGTATCATATCAATGCTTGAAAGCAAGATGATTAATTGTAATTGGTGATCATTCCAGAAGAAATCCGGTGATTGATGGAGATCCCGTAACCACCATAAGCAGCAACGCTAACGCATGCTGGTTAGTTGATTAGCTAATTAATTAATCTAATTAGTATAATCAACACCAGCAGAGTGTGCTATACCTACCTAACATCGTCATCGTGCGTTGTAGCCGGCCTTGTCATACCTCATCAACCAGTTTTATAAAATCTAGAAGGGATCGAATCATGTTAATGCCGAGTATAATTTTTTTTCCTCTATCCGTTCTGCGAGGCTATAGAAAACGTAAATAAACTGTGTCCAATGCCTTTGAACTTGAAGCGGAGAATGATTGTCCAATCCTTCAGAGAGAATACTTCTCTAAAATCCCTTTTTTTTGCGGGGCTCTAAAATCCCTATTAAATAGCGCATATACTAAGTTGATTATTACAACATATTTATGTACTTGATTTTAATGTTAAATTAAATATTTTTAAAAAAAATATTTAAGAAAGAAATATAGTATAAAAATGTGGTAATATAGTATAAAAATGTGGTTTAAACAATACAGTAGAAGATTTTTCTTTTTAGAACATACTTATAAGCATGGAGTAAATAATGTGATAATAATTCAATGAATTAGCTAAAGAGAACGGTGCCAGCAAATGAACAAGAGCGGTAAGTATTGAGTTTTAAGCCGCTAATAATACACATAAAGATATCTATACATTTTTCACGAATGCGCAAAGATTACACGTCAATATAAGATACCTATAAATGTATTATGCTCCAGCTAGTTGATTCCGTTCTTTATGACTTGTCTTATAGAGTGGTGAAAATCGCAAACTTGGCAATGCAGGTGAAAGATTGTACAGGGTAACGTAGTTGGTGGGCATGTGCTTTCATACGCTTTCTCCCCCGTGCCGTACGCCTGCAAAAACGGATTTCGACGTCTCCTGTTGACGTTTTGCCGAGCCAAGCAACCGCTCGGCTCGTGTGGTGATCGGTTGCAAAATGTCTCGTACGCATGTGGTCGTTGCCTGCCTGCCTCTGCCTGCCAGAATGTCGGTAGATCGGCACAGGGCAGTGGGCATTGCGCGAGAATGATAGCCGACCTGCTTGCTAATTGCTACTCCTATATATGTTGCTGCTCGTGCAAAACCTGAAACACAAATATCCCAATTAGCCATCAGCCATGGAATCCATACATATGTACTGGCAACAATTGGGCGACATCAACTTCAGCTCGACTGCTCCAGACTTTGACAAAAAAAAATTATTAATCTTTTTTGAAGGAAAATAAGAAGACGACTTTGATAGACATGCGGTACTGTACTATAGTGTGTGTGATGCCCATTCAAGCTACAAATATGATGGTTGAGTTGTACCAACGTAGGTCACGTAGCCATGAATGAAAAGAATCGTATCAGTCTGAGTCTACCACGACTCACATCACGCCTGTCCATAGCGCTCTGTGTCAATGTGCAGCGAGCCAGCGAGGTAGAAGGAGACCCGCCTTTTTCGCCTTCTCTAACTAAGTTTTTGATTCCTTCTATTAGAGTTTGTCCTTAAGAATATTCATGGAAAATGGGATTAGCTATAGTTTTTTCTTTCCTTTTTATCTTTTTAATTTATCGCTACTGTATTCAGAGGTTTTTGGTAAAGATTCAAAAAATGTTGTCTGTCAGATTGTCGGCGATCCAATTGACAATGATGGTATAGGGCGTGGGTTGCCAATCTGTTTCGTGACGTCGGTTCGAAAGGAGCGAAGATGATGGTTGATGCTTATATTTCCACCTTTGTGTATGTGGGAGTTGATCAACATTATGGTCGCGCTCGTCTACTCGCACCTTTTACGTTATTTCACAATGTAGCGTAACTTTTACAGTAACTCTAAGATGTGGAGCATCTCTGTTTTTCATCGATAGGTTTATTTTTTTAAATGTAACAACAAGGTTATAATAGTTTCTTATATCTAATATAATCTTTTTTATTATGCACATTTTCTCCAACTTCGAATGGAGATTCTCGAATAGAATTCAGTAATTTAGGGTTCTTTTATCTTGTGTGGGTGTCTTTTAGTTTATGTTCACTTTATATCATGTCAGTGTGGGATGTGTTTGTTTATACGTGCACATTGTAATAATTGGTTATATCTCGTTGTACAAAAATATTATTCCATTATTAAAAAAAATCTAATATAATATTTTCCTAATCGCTCGAGCTATGTTTGATAAGGCAAATGAAAATAGATAAAATAAAAAATAGTTATGGATAGAAAAATTATACCTTTTATTCAAAAGATTTAAAAGCTAAGATTGGAATTACGCTATGATAAAAAAAATCCTAAAATTAAATCTAAATTTTTAAAAACTCAAATTTTGGCTAGGAATCCAACAAACAGACGATAGAGCTAGGATGGAGTCTTTCCTGAAAATCTTGCAAAATTTTTCACACGCAACATCCAAATTAACCATGGTGGTCCAATCCAGAGTTACTGGTGCTGCTATTGATTAAAAAAAATAACTACTACGATAGATACTATTGC